CAATCACATTCATATTATGTTCAAATATATAAAGATCTCAAAATAATAAACTTCAGTTCTAGTAGAAATATTTGAAACATTCTTGATAAATTCCTTATTCATATTAAACACTGATAGTTAGAGTAATAAAGATTTTTCATTGATCTTCTGCTTTTTTTTTTTTGTTAATATTAATTTTTATATTTAATCGATAATTTTCACACCTGATAGCACTTATGAGATCTATGCTTCTGTAAAAGATCCACATAGATAATCTAATCCCAGAATGAATAACTATATATATATATTCTTGTTTTGTATTCTTACTTGTTCTTGTTATTATTATGTTAGTATTTATTGAGTAGTAAAAAAAAAAAAACATTATGTAAATAAACTTTTAACCTTCAGACATATTACATTGTCTTTATGCTTCTTTTTTGTTTCCATAATAAACAGTAGACATCAATCAATTCATATCACTAGAATATAGGATCATCAAGACAATTTATGAATACGTTGCACTTGAGAACATTCGAAGGTTATATTTGCATGTAGACTAGATAGGCATGGCTCAATGAAGATAACAAAACGATTGATTATAATCATACACGCCGAGAGTCTATTATAACATTTGTCTATTTGGATGGACAGACATAGACATAACATCGAAGTGTTTTTTTTTCTCTTTTACTAATTGAGTTTATCCTGTTTTTTTTTTGATATAGGTTGAATGATCTGTCATAACTTGTTTTATTCTGATACATTTAAATTAAAGAAGATAAAAAGGATGTCACATACGTTAGATCATTTTGTTTTTAAATAATAACTTAGTTGAATTGTTTATTTACTTTTAATATAGTGAACATGACGACCTTCTCATAATATATTATTTTTTTTCTTTTAAAGTATCTACGAAATCATTTATTCTGATAAGCACTTTTATTATATTAAAAGACAAAAAAAAAAACAATTTTCTGATCTAACCTTCTATACATATAGATAATTGATAATAATCATCTGTAGTTTTCATAATAAACATTTGTGAATCAGATAGAAATTGTCCAACGTTATATATATATAAGAAATGACAATGAGTTAGTTTGCCTTTTCACTATCTTTTATGGTTAGGGTTATTAGTGTCTTATAGTATATAATCTCATATACGTAATAAGAAAAGAAAGAAGTTCTTATATAGTGTAAGTTTATCTGTCATTTTCTTCATTTACAACATTGAACAGTAAACATTAACGTCATTGCTGTTGTGTTTCCTAGAACTAAGACAAGTTAATGTTAGACAATAACCATATTATTAGAATACAAAAAAAAAGAAAGAAAAACGAAGAAGTATATTGTCATTGTACAGGTCAGCCTTGGTACAAGGTTATCAGTGGCATTTATTCCATTTTAATATATTGCTATATCTTCTTTACTCTAGAAACTGTCAATGAAACACAATAGATGTAACGAAGAATAATGATAGTGGCAAGTCAGAGACAATGTATTCATTGTCATCGTCCAGACAAATCCTTCATTGTCTTGTCAGTTGAGATAGAACTTCTCTTATATATTAATTCTCTCTATCAGGTATGTTTAACCAGTTATTTAAGATATTTCTATTTTTATATTTATACTCTTAAATATTTAATGAAATAATTATTATAATTTTTGATAATGATGACATTGTATTTTTTTATGAAAAATTTCTATTGACAAGATAACAGTTGCATAGATTGAATGAAACAAACATTACACATCACTCAATTAGATAAGATCAGTCTTGTCACTTTTTTTTTCTCTTAAGCGAGATCATGCGTATAAAACATATGTATATAGTTATTTACACTTGTTTTGTATGTATTTGTTGTTCAATAATATTAGTAAAAGATGAGAAACGTCTTCTCAGTTTGATATATACTCTAATTACTAATTGTGTTCATAACACTAGTGCACACTATCATAACTTAGCTATATCGTTTGTTAATTCAACAATCGATTGTGACACATCATTAAATCATCGATCTAATATATATCTTTGTATGTACAATTCTTTATTTGTGTATATAATATCAATTAGGTAATAGAATCATATTCATTTCAACAGATGTTCTTGTTCTAGTTATTCTTCTTTGATGTTACTCAAACATTTTATAGGTTTCATCATATTGTAAGTAAAAGAAAACTAGAAGGATTAATGTTCACACACACATATATATATATATATATGATGATTAGAAAAACAGAAGATAACTAATAAGTAAATGATCTCAATAGATAATTTAACATAGTAAAAACTGATGTTCATTATTTGTATATATTGTTGATGAATTCTAACTTAAACAATAATATGACGACTATAATCATTTATATTCTATAGAAAATATTTAAGTTTTGTTTTTTCTTGTTCATTATATTCATATGCATATTGAGTCTAGTGTTTAGTCAAGATTCTCTTCGGCTATTAAATCATAACTCATCATATATAGACAGAAAAAAAGAAGAAAGAACTTGATGACGATAATAATGTAATCAAAAAAAACGAGAGAGAGAGAGACAGAGAAAGAAGATATATATATATGTTCGAAAGAAGTGCGACATTTTCTTCTTTATTCGTTTGAATGCTTTCTATAACATCTTCTCTTAGCAAAAAAAACTAAATAAGAAAATTGAATCAAGAACTCATCAAAAAAAAAAGAATGTTCGATTTCTATTTATTAAAGATGTATGTAAGTTTCTCTTAATTAATATTTGTTTTTTTTTTTTTTTCAATATATTTTATTGATGAATAGAATATGAATTATGATATTCTTTTTTGATATGTTTTTAAATATTAATGTAAAATTTTATTAAGAATTTCCGTTAAATATATTTTTATAAGTAATTATTGAATTTAATTTCCAGATGAATAAATTTACTTAGAATAATATCTTTAGATTTACTTTTGATATGTTATTTTTTTGTTGTAATATTAATAAAAAACAGATATTGATTGAATAATAATAAAATTGCTCAAAACAAATAATACTCTTGGGAAATTATAAATTACATTGATTTTTTTCTTTTTTTTGGTTCTTTCTTCATTCTAACATCTCATATTACATAGAAATCGAACAATGTGTTATGTTTTATTTATTGACAACTATAATAGAGATAAGAAAAAATGAAATAAAATAAAAGAAGAAGGAATTCGACACATGATTTTTTTTTCAGTATTGTTCTATGCTCCAAGGGCTTCTCTACTGAACATAATTATATAGTATTTGATCTTTAGATGTAAGAAAAGGTAAAACAAGTGCATATTGATTCGATACTCAGTAGTACCTTTTCTTCTATTGCCATGAAAAAAGAAATGAGAAAGATCATTTATTCACTGTCATCTTGTACGTTAAGCAAGGACATAGAAAATGGTTGTACATTAGTATAAGAAAAGAAGTGGATGGTAAGATTGAAATATGTTCATTTAGTGTTTATTTTGTAATCAATATAATGGCAGAATATGTTTATATTAACGGAAGTATATACTGTTAAAAAAAATATTAGCATCAGATTGAATACATACATATATATAGTATATATATATATATTTCTATTTTCATTAATTATCCATCAATGATTTTCTTTTTTATTTGATAATATTGAACGAACAAAACAATGAAATAAAAATAAGTTTTTTTTTTTTTTTTATTTTTTATTTTTATATTTATTTGAAAAATAAGAAAAGCATTGATCCAAAATAATAAGCAAAAGAACCTATTAAGATCTTCATATAGTTATATGAGAGAATAAGTCTATTGATAAAATACATTATGAAAAGCATGAATTCATCTATTATAATGACTAATCATTTTAATAAGAGTAATACAATTTACAAAAAAAAAAAAAAAATGCTTTATGAAGTGTAAAAAAACACGCTTTTATTAGATCGTTTCACATCTGGTTTTGAGATTTTCATAGATTTTTATTTCTATTTGGTCATCAATTATTTAGAAAAGAAGAATAAGAATAGAAAGTATATTTTAAAAAAATCATAATTTTGATAAAAGGCAAAGTAATACTTTTTTTTTTCACATAATAATGGAGATTTTCTCGTTTATTCTTAAAAAAAAAAAAATGACAAGCACTCAAGAAAAGAAAAGTATTCCCATCAACGATTTATATTGTTTTGTTTTTACATCTCTTGACTTACTCAATAAGAACAAAAGCAAAAAAAAAGAATAATATTTTTCTTTTTGTTTTCTATAAGATAGATAATAAAAAAAAAGTCGTTATTTTGTATGCTATTCCCCATCAGAATTTATAATTTAGATTATTATATCAAATTTTAGAAAATTATCTATATGAAAATAATCAATATTTTGATTTATAAAGAATGCAATCTTTTCTCTTTTTGTCGCACATTGTGTCATGCATTCATTTAATTTTCATATCATGCGAATCAATGTAAATAAGTTAAAATTGTCCTTAAGGAATATGAAAATTGACTAGTAAAAGCAAAAAATAATCTTCTTTTACAAATGACATAACTTGTTTTCTAACTTATTTCTTAAAGGCAACATCGTTCAATTATTAAATCTGGTAAGTTTTTACAAATCTTCATGACGATCATTAGTAAAAAAAAAAAAACATTTTATCTGTCATTAAGTATGTCGAAAGATTTTAATTAATTTACACTCATATATATATATATTACATAGTTTCAGTATTTATTTTAAATTTCGAAATATTTCTTCATTTTTTTTTTTGGTACTTTATTGTGTCTAACATGATTCATGTGTTTCTACTTTTTGTTAGTTATTATTAAAAAGAACCTCGTTTTATTCTCATGAGAATTAAACAAGTATAATTTTTATTTTTACTTGTTGTTAAGTATTTGACAATATATACTTAACGTATATTGATTGAAACATTTATTTATTTATATATATATATATAGATTTATGAATGATTGTAATATTTTATAGATAATCTGATGATTTACATGCGAAATGAATGAAATATATGTGAATGATAATATGTCATTGAATATGACATCAATTACACCAATGAGTAGTACAACAAGAAGTATGCCACAACGTGAACAAATGCTTATTGATGCATTTAATAGTTATATACAAATTGGTATTGGCAGTCTTTTATTTCTATTTGGTGTTACATTTAATTGTTTAAGTTTACTTTATTTTCATGTATCACGTAGTTTTCGACATACAACATTTAGACTTTATTTTTCAATAATATCAATACTTGATACAATACGTTTATTTGAATTTCTTATTTTTATTTTATTTGATAAAGGTTATCTTAAAGTAACATTAAATTTATGTCGTTCAATATTTTTTACTATTATGTTTACTGGACAGGTAAAGATTTCTTTTTTTGATATTTTATTATAAGAACAAATTTTCTTCTCCTTTTTTTTGATGAAACAAAATGTCATTGATTAGATTTTTATTTATTTTGATAAAAAAAAAAAATGAAAAGGTTTTGATTGACACTCTCGAACATATTTAATATTGTAGAAAATTGATTTATTCAACATGATTTGATTATTAGTAGACTCGAAATTAATTTTATCATGAACAAAAAAGCTAGAATTCATCATCTTACGATAAATATATATTTGTTTTTATATTAGTTATGTAAACTTCATGAGCAAATTTTTATGATCGAGAATGTTAGTAAAATAATAATCGAATCGTTGAAATAATGTTTACTGAATATTCGAATCTATTTCTTTATAAATAGAAAAATAGATGATGATGATGTATTAAATCTAGTTAATTATTAAATATGTTCAGCATACATCGAACAATGATGAAATATGATCAACATGAATAGGTTACTCATCAAAAATGAATCTAGTACTGTTATGCTAAGAATAGAAAAGGTTTAATGGTAGAAATGTAGAAATATAATACAAGCACTAATGAAGCGTATGTTGTTTTTGCTAGATTTTATATCAGTTTTTTTTTTTTGTAAGAACGCAATTACACAAATATTTTTGTGTTTTATTATATAAATTACTGCACAATACATTTCTATTAAAAAAGTACAAAGATTATTTTGATTAAACTTAGTAAAACAAAATCTTATGTTATTATAGAAAAGAATTAGTTTTACATTAATAAATATAAGAAAAATGATAATAATATCTTCTATATTCGATTACAAAAACAAAGATTTATTAATATTATTTTTTAATTAAATATTAGGCTAGTATATGGTTAACAGTTGGATTAGCTGTTGAAAAATGTATAATAATATGGTTTCCAATAAAAGGTCGTTTATTTTTTACAATGTGTATATCAAAATTTTTTCTTATATTAACATTATTAATTGTATTTTTTGCTGATGTTATTTATCTATTACCAAGTTTTTTTTTACATGCATATGAAAATCTTTCAATTCATACATTTATGTGTGTTTGGCAAAGTGATAATCAATCATCAATACATGCACATGATCAATGGAAAAAACATTATTTTACATTTAATACAGTTTTTTTTCATTCAATTATACCATCAATATTATTATTAACACTTAATTGGTTAATATTATGTAGTTTATCAAGACAACGTATTATATTAACTAAAATTGGTTCAATTGATGCTAAAAATATTCTTAAACGTGAAAAACAATTTAAAGAAAAAACAATTCAACTTGTATTATCATCATTTTTTGTTATTATAACTATATCACCAAGATATATATTAACAATGGTTAATGCATTTGCAACTAATATTAAAAAAACTCCAATTATGCCATTATATATTTATGTTAATTTAAATACGGTTTTTCGTGTTCTTGAAATGTGTAATTATTCATTAAATATTATTATTGCTATAATGAGGTAAGAAAATTATTCTCTTTTTTTTGTTTGAATATAATTTTGATTTTAGTGGTCGAACATCACGTCTTGAAATTCGAAAATTACTTTGGGAAAGTCTTTTTTGGAGATTTAAACGTACACAATCTGATCATCATGAATTAAAATTTATTAAACATTCATTTTCAGTTGATGATGATGATGATGATGATAATAGAGAACATACAACTAAAGGACATACTAATAAATCTTATTGTTCATTAACTCATCATAATCATATAATATCTAAAATAAGTTCGGGAAATAATTCAAAACAAAAATTTCGAACATCAAAAGCATCATCATCATCATCATATTTTACTTGTTGTGGTTTTACTATTGATTTATCACATAAACAAACATATTCATCAAATTCTCGAATATCACCACCTCATTCTTCAATAAATAAAAATTCAAATCGTTTATTAACAAAAACTCATTCTTATCCTCAAACATCATTAATAAAAAATGATCGAAAATTTAAACAACAACAACAACAACGTAGTATTTCTTGTCGAACAACTAATAAATCTCGAACAACAACTCCTATACATTGTTTATATAATACATCTTCATCAAAAATAATAACACGAACTAATAATTCATTAAATCCTAGAATTCAATCAAAAGAAAATCAAAATATTAATTTTGAAAAATTATCACCTATTATTGATAAACCTTTTATCAAACGAGATGAATCGAAAACAAATATTAATTTATTAACAGAATCTCCAACTATTATACAAACTGATTTTAATGAACCATTACCACCAGCTTATATCATCGAAACATGTTAGTTTTATTCTATTTTTTTTTTTTTTTGTTTTTGATAAATGTACACTTTTGAACAGTGACTAAACGATGATATGAATACAAATTAATTATAATAAATAATTAGAATTTTTATGTCACTAATGATCAATAAATTTATTAGATAATATTAATTTTTTGAATATTTAGTTTTTAAAAAAAATCACAACATTATTTTTTTTTTGTATGATAAATTTTTTATTGTGGTCTACGTATCTTATGGCTTTGATTCTTTTTTTTTTTTCTATATAGGAAACACAATTCAAAAGAAGTGCGAATCCGTCATCTTCTTTTCATAGAAAGGAAGAATACCACTGCCGGTCGGCTATTTGAAATATTGCATTGTGATAGATTCAATAGTTCGATATCTTTGTTACAACTCGACCTGACACTGAGTTCTTGCACTCCTCATATACATGAACTAATTAACAAACTATAAGAGTGATTGAAAAATAACTCTCTATTTTAAATTCATTATTACTATCAAACAACAAAAGATATCGTTCTGATTTTTTTTCACCATTTTGAATCATAGACTATGGCATTTTGTTCTAGATGAAACAAATCGATTGATCGTTTGACTGTCTAAAATCAAATTTCCGAATTTTGTCTTGACAACATCTGAAAAAAAAAGAACTCATTATTTTTAGTAGTTTATTATTCTTGTACTAGAATCTAGGTGTGGGTGTGAGTGTGCGTACGTAAAGTTGTGATGTGTGTTTGGACAATGCAAAAATGTTTTTACCCAAACACACACCCACATCTTGGTTCGAGTACAAGAATAATAAACTACTAAAAATATTGAGTTTTTTCCAGATGTTGTCAAAACAAATTTCAGATTTTGATTTTAGACAGTCAAACAATCAATCGATTCTTTTCATCTAGAATAGAATACCATAGTTCATATTTCAAAATAGTGAAAAAATCAGGACGATATCTTTTGTTGTTTGATAGTAATAAAGAATTTAAAATAGAGAGTAACTTTTCAATTATTCTGTACATCGCAATGTAGTTATCATGATATCGGACGAGTCATTCGAGATAAATACCTGTTAGTGACTTGTTTAGGATCATTTCATAATTGATGATGCCGAAGTTTGAGCAAAGTTCCTTGTGAATATTTGTCGAACAACATAGCTATTCAACCATGGTGGCATTTCTCTTCTCATAAATCGTAATAAACAGGATTGACAGACCGTAATAGACACATTAGATACGACTCATCACAAACATGACTTATGTTATCAAACTAATAGTAAAATAGACAATAGTACTTCAGTATGAATATACTGAATTTTTTACATAATAAAAACAATACTAACTATGTGTTCAAAAGATAATTCTATTGTATCTTGAGAAAATCTTCGAAAAATACTAAAATATGTTCTGTAAAAACAACTTTAAATAGCTTCAATAGAAGAAACTGATCTCTCAATACTTTTGAATTACTTTCAATATGTTCTATTGTATTTTGTTGCCTTATTTTTTTTTAAATTAAATTTGCCATTTAATTCTTTACAAATATACACAATAAAAATCTATGAAATGAGGTCCTGACAAAATATGGAATACTGAGAATATTAACATGTCAAAGGCTGTGCTACAGACTCGTATAAAACACGAATATCAACATTAAACAAAACCAAAAGAAAACATCGCTCTGTGAAAACTACTGAAGTTTCGCGGTTAATTTTTGTTTCCCGTAGTATTTGAAACCAATCAAAACAATTTTATGGTAACTATTACAAGCTGGTTTTACAGAACAAATTTTAGTACTTTGTTCAATACTCAAAAAGACAAGAGTTGATCGGATTTTGTTTTCGAATACATTGTTGGACAGAATTTTCAACATAGATTTTTTTTTCTAAAGAAAATGTGAATTGAAATAAAACACGTTCAAAAGATTGTGCATCGTTTGTTAAATACTTCATTCATAAATAATAATCATTAGAAGGTATTATTTTATGAATACAATATTCGATTTATTCGTGCAAAATATCTTATACGTTAGTATTGAAACGTTTAACAACAAACAAATAATGAGAATTTGTTGTTGTTAATAACAAATTTTATTAGATAAGATAAATCAATATAATTGAAAATTCAATCACCTTATTCCATAAAAACTAAACTACATAGAAAAATTCTACTTTTACAATCAAGATAATGATGTTTTTGTATTTAATTTTGTGCATGACCTTTAGTTGCATCACCTTCTGTATAAGCACGACTAACAACTTTTCCTTTATCAACAATTAAATATTCTTCACGTTGTGGTTTTCCATTAAGCCAATTTCCAAGAACTTCTTTAACACCAGCTGCATAACGTGCTTGAGCATCAAGTGTTGTACCTGAATAATGTGGTGTCATTGCATGTCGAGGCATTGAACGCCATGGATGATCTTTTGCTGCTGGCTACAAATAAATAAAAATAAAAATTCTTAAAGTTCGCCAGATTTGGTTAACTATTTTCAATTTTCTATAATCATTATTTTTCATTATTGATGTCTAAAATTTTTATATATCAATAATTAATATAGTATTTCTGATAAATTAATATAAATAACTCTTACATAAATAGAAAAACTTTATTTGACCTCCAAATTCTTGAACGGAGATACAAGAATATAAAAAAATATTTATAGCTTCTTATTAAATTTGATGCGTAAATCACATCTGAACACTCGAAAAAAATAGATATTGTTCCTACCAACCATGATCTCATACCGTAGAGCAAAAAAAGTCTTTCGCTTATTAGAACTATTATATTGACTATTGGTACATAAAAATTTTTAACAGTATCGTTGATAATTATTAAAATATCGTCTTCGAAAAGTCTGATCTGTTAAATATATAGAGATTAATAATATGCACTTTCTTTTTTAATATCTAGACAGCAACAAATGAAAAATAATGATTATAAAATGAATTTAAAAATAAATCCACTAGATGAATTTTGATTATATTAAAAATTTGATTTTCTTATAAAGGATTGAATGCGATGAAAATTGTTCTAGAAAAGTACATATGAACTATCCTGATTGGAAATAGGTGACCAAATTCCGCAAGATCCTTTAAGCCACCCCTTAAACAAATCACCTTTCGTTAAAATCAACGAAATTAAGATAAATGCAGGAGAAGATAGTCCATCATTGAATCTCTTATAAACGACAATAATTTTTACTCAGCACGTCCCTTTTTTTCCAAAAATTTTTTAAGATTTCCTTTATTCCCTATTCGAAAAACAAGCTCTTTTTCGATTTTTCTCATTTTATAGGTTCTCGATCGCATCTCCAAGATTTTTCCAAGGTGCTTCATTCTAGTCAATAGTTTTTTGTTGTTTGAAAGAGTTTGTAAAACTGCAGTGTCTATGAGAGCCACTTTTTTATTAAGCTTTGATTTTATTATATATTCAAATCTTTATATAATTAGAGCACCATTTTTGGAGATTTTTCCCTTTAAAAGTAAGAGTTTAAAAAAAGGCCTCTCATAGGCACTGCATTCTAACATGCTCTTTCAAACAAAAAAAAATATTAATTGTATAGACTGAAGACCACAGAGAAATTAGTCATTTTTTGACTCTTGTTTGACCTATATCTCCGTTAAGCATCATGGTACAGGACTGAAAATTTTACCATAGCCATGGTTAATCAGTTTCAACATATCCTGAAAATTTCATGCTATTCAAACGTTTCTAGTCTGAGATCGAATTTTGAGGAAGGGGATCTTAATTAATGTTTTGTTTTTTTGTTTATCTTACTTGTGGATACCAAACATCTCCAGCATAACCTTGAATATGATTTGATTTAACAGCATCAACCAAAGCATCACGATCTACAATTTTTCCACGTGCTGTATTAACAATATAGCTACCTTTTTTCATTAATGATAACATTTTTTTATTAAACATATGTTCAGTTTCAGGATGTAATGGACAATTTATTGTAACAACATCACATACTTTTACTAATGATTCAACATTTGGATGATATGTTACATTAAGTTCTTTTTCAATTGATTTATCTAAACGAAATTTATCATAATAATGTAAATGAACATTAAATGGTTTAAGACGTTGTAAAACACGAAGACCAATACGACCGGCAGCAACGGTACCAATATGTTTATTTTCTATATCATATGCTTTATCAGCTATTGCTGCAATATCCCATTCACCATTGACAACTTGCTAAAAAAATTTAAAATTTTTTTTTGTCGATAAAATATTTTATTCAATTATTTTCTTGAAATATTTCAGTGTAATGAACATGATTTTCGACAAAAAATAATCATTCTATCATAAAAATGAAACAACTTATCTTTCACATCTTTAATTTTCATGAAGAAATATTAGATGTTACTGGATTTCATATTTAAATTATGAATTGAAGTCTAATTGAAAACGTTCAATCTCAAGCTCAAAGTGTTTGTCAAAACAAAAAAATGACAAAGTTATATTTTTAGTATAATTGGTGTCTTATACAGTAAATTTTTCCTTACCATTTTGCAAAATTTCTTGTATAAAATGATAGAAACATAAAACTTAATATGCGTTGTCAATTTGTTCATAGAAATTAATTTCTGTCAAATTTGAAAAAAAAACTGTTTCACTCCAATTAAGTGTGAAAAACCAAAATTTAAGAAATTCATTTAAATAACTTTTTCACAGTAATTGTGAAACAAATAATGGAAAACACATCCATTCTTAGTCAGTTTAATCATACTCTATCTAAGTATTTATAAAGAAAAGAACAAAAAAAAACTTCTACTTTAATTTAACCCATGTCCTTTGAATCGACTAAAAATTGCCGATTAATCCCGATTCATCGAAACGATAATCGTGAGCTGAATCGCGATAGAATCGTCGATTATTCCCGATTATTTCAGCGATTTTTACGATAAATCGTGATTTTATGCAAGATTTAACCGTCTGTTTACTGATATTTTCTACTATTTCATTGGTTCTTTTGGAGACACATATTTGGATTTTTTCTTGAATTTAATTCAATTTTTTTTTGTTCTCAAGATTCAAGCCGATCAGATCGTCCGATCTCGAGCTGGTCCGATTCTTATCAGAGTGCTTCAGTGTAGTCCTCTCCAGATCATGGATCGAGATTGGCATTTCCTTGATTAAAAATAACCAAGAAATAATTTATCAGAAAAGTATATTTCGAAAACTTATTTGTTATGCATTGAACGGCGTTGTTTATATATCCGTGTGTGTTCATAACAAAACGGTGAATGAATAATTGTCATGATTTATCAATGATTTTTGAAAATCAGCTCTTCTCCCATAATCGCGATAAAATCTGATATAATCGTCGATCTTTTAAAGAAATACGATAAATCACGATTTTACGCCAATTTTTTAGAAAATCGCGAAAATCGCGGTGATTCTCACGACATGGGAACATATTCGATAGGTGACTGTCATATTATTGGTGTACAAATAAAAGAAGGAAAATAATAATGAATATATCGATTACAGCAATGAATTAGTTCAAAAAAGGACATCCTACACTTAATTTATCAAGTTGTTCTCAAGCATAGAAAGGTCAAAAGGTCAAAAAAAAAAAATTTTTTTTCAGTGTTTATCATATAACGTATAAAAATTTTTATAGATTTAAAATTAGTTCTATAACTTACTTTATAAGCTGGAATAAAATTTCGTACAAGTGCTAATATTTGCATAACAACATGTTCAGCAACACTAACAACATTGGAACCACTTATTTCAGCTAAAATAAGAAAAAAAGATCAAGAATAATTTTTATTAAACATTGATCAATTTACATACCAACAGTAATTCCTATTAGAAAGAAAAAGAATTAATTAATTAGTTATAGATATAATAAAAAAAATCTACCTCGTTTACAAGCTGCTTCTAAATTAACATGATCAGAACCAACACCAGCTGTTATTGCTAATTGTAATTTTTTTGCTTTATCAATACGTGTTTGATCAAGATAACATGGCCAAAATGGTTGTGATATAACAACACTTGCTTCTGGTAAAATTTTTTCAGCCATACAATTTTCACCTTGTTTATCTGATGTTACAACAAGTTTAAGATTATTTTCAAGTTTATTTTGTTTAATCCATTCACGTAAACCAAGTGCATTTTCTACACATCCTAAGATATTTTTATTTTTTTTACCAGCTTCACCTCCTTTTTTAAAATACAAACAAAAACAAAAACAAAGAATTATCAAACGAAAAAGAAATTAATTTAAATATCAAACCTTCATAAAGTACAACTAAAACTGTGTGTTGACCACTTGTTGATGCATAACGTGATACAGATGTCCATGGATTTGTTGATAATAATCCTCTTTTTAATATATTACTTAACATCATTTTCTTTTTATCTATAATATAACGAAAAAAAGAGTGATGTTTTTTTCTAATTTATTTTATATGCGCAATAACGTTTATCATGCTGTTTTTATACCTCTTTTGGCTCGACACACATGCAGCTGATGAAACAAAAAGAAGAAAAAAAAACACGAGGTCGCACGCCTTCCTTAAGTAAGAGAACAATGAAAGGATACAGAGCAATTTATATATATATATATCTAGGTCAATACTGTGGTTGTTCGTATTATCTTATCTAAAATTTGATCAACTTGAGAAATAAAATTTAGAAAAGAAAAAGAATAGTTTTGATTTATCTATAATAATATTGATAATAATAAAATGATAAAATTTACACATATAAAAGAAGATTTTGATGTAATAGTTGTTGTATCATATCGTAAATAATTAATATTTGATAATTGTGAAGTTGAACGAGAATAATAACGATGAAAATATTTCAAAGATAAATGAGATAAAGATATTGTTGTTGTTGTTGTTTCAATATTATTTGAAATACAATATGATTGATCATTTTGTTCAATACGTTCTAAATTTATTTCACAATATCCATGTTGAATTGATATATGAAAATAAATAAAACGAAATTGTTCTTTTAAATTATCTTTTTGACAATATTTTTGAATATATTTATATAAACAACATAATATTTCACGAATTTTAATACAACGATATGATTTATCATCACAATTATATCGATTACATAAAACATGTTTGTGACATTGATTTGGAATATAATATAAATTTTTGTTAATTAATATATTTGAACAATAACTATTATTATTTAATGAGAAATTTCTATCAATATCAATTAAATAATATGAATTTAATGATTTACTACTTATATTATTAATTAATAATAATAGTAATAAGAATAAAACAAATAAAAATAATTTCTTTTTATTCATCATTAAAAATCTAAATATAGAAATTAAAACAAATTTCATAATAAACATGAACAAACTGAAAATGATCAGTTTGTCATAGAATTTGAATTCTTATTACATAATTACAATAGACATGAATAGATTAAAATAAATTCATTTTCATTTTTCATCTCATCTCATCTCAAATATTGTTACCAATTAATGAATTTTATGATAAATATCACTAAAGAGAAAAAAACAACAAGAAATGATCATTAGCTTTATTTAAGTATCAAATTGATGAGCAATACAGTTATATGATACAGAAAAAAGAAACGTAACTGACGCGTCGATGCTTCTATCTCAGACATATTCAATTATCTGTTCAGCGATGAAGAATGTTGACTCGATTACTAATGCAACGATGATAATGATAATGACTCGACTCGACTCGTCTATTATCTCATTGAACAACAAACAAACAATACATTATTTAATATTGATTTTGATTACTATTCAAATAAACATAACATATTCAGTCAATTAATCCGACTCATATATTATCTAAATCATTTTGTTGAGATTATTTCATACTTACATGTTTTACAGATGAAAGAAAAAAAAAAAGTGAATTACTCTTCTTACTTTATTGATCAATTGACTAGAAAAATTAATATAAATCTCAATCATTCGCTTTTGTTTTTTTTTTTATTCAGCTCGATACAAATGTTCTCTTCACCATATATTTCTCAAGAGTAGACGTAAATCTATAAGACTAGACTAAACTAGTTCAATAATCAATTTAATATGAGAGAATATTCAGTGAGTATATGTATAAATGCATGTTGATGAAGGACGAACATAGAATAACAATAAGAGAAGAAAAGGTTCGTTCTATGTTATCATGACTTGTACAAACAAGTAAACAGTACCAATGCATGATAAATGTTTCTTTGTATGATATTCATTATCGATAATAATAACAGAAGAAGATTAAAAATCATTATTATATGTAGAAATTGAACATTCATATCTTTTCTATATATTGACAAAACTAAACAGAATACAGTCAATAATCGATATCTATAGAGTTTATGGCGCTATAGATAATGAACACTTATCACATTTCTGTATCTGTGAACATTTATATAACTGATCAATTGATAGATACATCAGTTGTTTCATACTTTGTATCGACTTCTCATCAGAAGACGTTACACATATCTTGTTTTTCCATTTAATATATCAATCTATTTTGATATGAAAAAATATAATCTTTAGAAAAATTTACTATTAAAAACACGTTTATTAAGATTGTTTTTCTTTTACTCTCAAAAATTGATCTTGATTCATGTATATTCAAATTGCATAAAATTTTTACCCCTATACCATAATATTTTACAAACAAAGATCAATCATAACTCATTTTTAACCTTCCAGTCTGTATAGTTGATTTTTTTGTTTGTTTGAAAGAACATGTCAACATTCAGAAGGTAACAAAATTCTTTAGTTAATTCTTATTTTTTAAGCAGAGAAAAGCAATGAAACTTTCGAAGAATGACACTCTAATCATAACGATAGTCTTTTGAAAAAATACTATCAACGATTAATGCAAAAAGGAACTGTGATTCCGGAAATACAAAATGGAAATTTTTAAAAAAAACGAGATACAAAATAAATTATGAAAGATTATACATCGAGCTATTTTCGCATGCATTTATACCAATGTTTAATTGTTTAAACGAAAATTGACTTATTTTTGAGGATTTCTCAACGCAATAAACAAAATCTTTTATACCTAAAACATTAATATAGATACATAAGAATTATCATTTTTTGCGATTATTTCTTTTTGTTAGTTGATCAGTCAAGATTCTTGCTTAAATAAACAGATCATAACTTTTTCTCAAGACTCATATAGACAAAATCTTGGCTATTGAGACAGTAGTTGTGTCTCCAAGCAAGATTCTTGTATTTATAGCAAGTTCATCGTTGAGAAAACAACAATAAGAAAAGCAATCTCTCACTAATAAAAATGGTTTTTTTTTCATTATATACAAATGATTAATGTTCAATTATAACCGAAGTTCTTCGTTTTGATAGATCTGTTATTGATTAATTACTAAAAGACAACTGGTTAAAGTCGATTTCCATAGAAACGCATAGATAAAATTTTATTTTGTAGAGAACTCACGAGGGAACCGTTCCAACTGATAAATCGCTTTTTTAATGAAAGCTGGTGGGTTATAGGTTATCGACTATGCTGATTCCGAATATGAGTATGAGGAGTGCCCTTAGGCCTTCATAGGGTGGGTTTCTGGAAAACCAGGTCTTCAGAAAACTAATTTAAATGAAATTTTTGTTTTTGATCTGCTCAGATTATAGAGCACATTGAGTTGCCTATAAATCAATAGTTTTTCCTGCTTTGCATGGATTGTCTTGAATAAACAACATTAAACTTTCCTATTTGTACAGTGAAATGCTAGTAATATGCATCTACTATGTGAATTCCATTGACTGTATGTCATCGTAAAATCTATTTGAAACAAAAGAAAATATCGATTAATAGACAACTTGATGTGCTTTATAACCTGAGCAGGTCAAAAACAAAAATTTAGTTTAAAGTTGGTTTTCTAGAGATCTGGTTTTCTAGAAAACCATCATATAAAGGCCTAAGGGCACTCCTCATACTCATATTCGAAATCAGCATAGTCGATAACCTATAACCCACCAGCTTTCATTAAAAAAGCGATTTATCAGTTGGAACGGTTCCCTCGTCAGTGCTCTACAATAAAGTTAAGTTGAAGCTGTTGCTGTGAATTAATAATTCCACCAGAACTCTTATTTTTTCTTGTACAGACACAATTTGAGACTTTTCACCAAAGACGATTATAAATTACATGTCGATTTTTGACCAAAAGATGTGATATACATAGGCTTATAGAGGAAGACTTCCTCTATCTCGTGGTATATATATTATTGAATTCTGTTGTGCACTGTGGAAGAAAACTGAAATTAAAAAACTACAGATTTCACATTTTTTAAGCAGGCTCTCTATATAAGAATCTAAATTCTTTTGGGTAATCTCAGAACCTGATTCAATAGAATATATATCATTGGACTATACACAACACTCATTTGCATATTCTATTTCATTTTTCTTTATATTTTAGTTATGATCTGACTTATCAAAGTTCAAACAAAAATATTTCACATATATTTTTAATGCTGCCCAAAATAGTATTTATAGTACTTCAATGGCAATTTATTCGTGAAGTCTATTCATGTTTTAATGAGACATATGACGGAATAAGTATATTATTATCAGTTTGAGACGATATTACACAGCAGAAAAATCATAATATACTTAGACAATAGATCTTTTTATTATAACAAAGTTTACCGATAGATATAAAAATATTATTGTAGGAATATATATAGATAAATAGATATACGCAGTAACGATTATCGTGAACATTATAGAGCTTTCAGAAACTTTCAGCTATATTCGAAAGATAAAATCTGATTTATTACACTATGGATGAATGATTAGATTTTATTTCTATAAACTTCGCTGTATCACTTCAACAGTTCTATAATGCTTACAAGAATATTTGTTATAGTACATATATATGATGCTGTATTTGTAATGAAATAGTAGTGCCTAATAATGAATTCAAGAGAATCAAGACTTCTCTGGTTTTCTCAATCTTAATCAAACAGATTACTATATGCGTATGTTCTAAATGGTCTAAGTTTCTTTGTGTTCACAAAAGTAATATCTTTACAAGCCATGCTCTGTTATACTTTATCATGTCTCATTAAAACATGAATAGACTTCACAAATAAATTGCCATTTAAGTATTCTATATACTATTTTAAAGAGTAAAGAAATCTCTATAATTTTGGTATACTTCAACTATATTTCAGATTAACAAACACCAAACTATAAATACTATTTTGGGCAGCATTAAAAATATATGTGGAATATTTTTGTTTGAACTTTGATCAGTCAGATCATAACTAAAATACAACGAAAAATGAAATAGAATATGCAAATGAGTGTTGTAGATAGTCGAATGATATATACTCTATTGAATCAGTTTCTGAGATTACCCAAAAGGATTTAGATTCTTATATAGGGAACCTAATTAAAAAATGTGAAATCCGTAGTTTTTAAATTTCACTTTTCTTCCACGGTACACAAGAGAATTCAATATATATATGTATACCACGAGATAGAGGAAGTCTTCCTCTATAAGCCTATATATATCCCATCTTTTAGTCAAAACCTTATATTCGATAGTTGTTTAATCTTACCCCAGTAGGAAACTCTGAATATATACATACAAAAAGAGCAACAAATTTGCTTCTAGTTCTAATCAAGCAGAAAAATGCTTCATTGTTTTTTTTCTGAATAACTTTTGATAGGAACATCATAGAGATCTACGATTTTCATTAGAAGGTTGATTATTTAAATATCAGATCATTCTCGATCATGAAAACAAAAATATAATCGTTCGACTCAGTATGATGAAAGAAAACGTCTAATATCATTTGAACGTAATAAGTTAAAAATTTTAATCTTGCGTAGATCAAAAGAGAAATAGATTCAGAACATCGTTCTCGAAAATCTTCAACAAGCAAATATCTAGCTGATTAATTACTGATCCATCAGATTTCGATGATTTTTTCTTGAAGTGATAAAAACAGCAGATACGTATAATATTGCTATGATAAGTTATTTAAAAACAATAGTACACATCATCATATTTTGAAATGAATAATAGATTATTGTTCGATTTAGATAATTTTATTGTTGCAATTTAATTTAAAGACTTATATAAACTTATTCTAATGTATTATATATTTATTATTTAGATTTGTTATATATTTGAATTCCTTGAACAATCCAATCAATAATATTTTGTGGAATTAAATTAGGTTTTTGTTGAAAAAGTTGATAAATAAAATTTGGTAAACAAGAACGAAGTATTGAAAGTTGTTCAAGTGATATATTTGATATTAATCTTTTTAAAATACATTCTATTATATCATATATTATTTTAGGTAATTGAATAATTTGTTGATTTAAAGGATAAAAATAAAATTTTCTATTCATTTATAAATATTAAATTATAATTTATAATAAACAAAAAAAAAAAAGAAAAGAAACTAAAATTGAAATAGTGCGCGTATAGCACAATTGATTTTTGTTTATTTGAGAAAGAAAAAACAAACGGGAATATCAATAATGGTGTTTTTTTTCTCTCTCTTGTATATCCAAATATCAACATAAAAGACAAAAAAAAAAGAAAAAGAACATGGACAAAATGTTTTATATGTATTACTCTTCTAATAATAGGCTATAGGATAATGTAGTTAGCAAATACAGAGAGAGAGAGAGAGACAGAAACATTCAAAAAAAAAAAGAGAGAAATATACTAAGAACATTTAGTCGGTTTAATATTGTTCATAAAATTGATTTTTCCTAACGTTCTGAAGCAAGTTTTTCAGCACGAGCAGAAACATCTTCAATACCACCGACCATATAGAAAGCTCCTTCGGGTAAATGATCTAATTCACCTATTAAAAAACAAAATACAATAAATAAATAGTTTAATTATTATTAAATAAATAAATATCTTACCATTCAATACCATTTTAAAGCCTTTAATTGTTTCTTTAAGTGGTACTAATTTACCTGGTGTACCAGTAAATACTTCAGCGACCTTTAAAAGAAAACAAAACAAAAACAATTAATTATTATAAATAATATAAACTAACTTGAAAAGGTTGTGAAAGAAAACGTTGAATTTTACGAGCACGAGCAACAGTTAATTTATCATCATCAGATAATTCATCCATACCCAATATAGCAATAATATCTTGTAATGATTTATAATCCTATAATAAATAAAAAAAAATTAAATGTCGATAAAAAAACTATTTTTTTTGTTTTAAATAAAAAAAAATAAAAGAAAGATATTTTTTTATCGTGTATGGTTCTTTTTTTTCTTTTGCACATCGACTACACTTGTATAATTATTATTATTAGGATAATACAAGCTCTAGCGTGTGCTAATAATAAAAAATTTTTTGTTTATTGAAATCTTACTTGAAGTGTTTTTTGAATATTACGTGCAACTGAATAATGTTCTTCACCAACAATATTTGGATCAAGAATACGTGATGTTGAATCTAATGGATCAACAGCTGGATAAATACCTAATTCAGCAATACCACGAGATAAGACTGTTGTTGCATCTAAATGAGCAAATGTTGTAGCTGGAGCTGGATCTGTTAAATCATCGGCTGGTACATATATAGCCTAATATTTTAAAGAAAATAAAAATAAGAAAACTCAAAAATATTGACAAATTTTGTTATTTTTTTAGAAAATTAAATTTATTTATATTATACCTGTACGGATGTAATTGAACCTTTTTTAGTTGTTGTAATACGTTCTTGCATAGTACCCATATCAGTTGCTAAAGTTGGTTGATAACCAACAGCAGATGGAATACGACCTAATAAAGCTGATACCTTAATAATAATAATAATAGAAGAAAAATATTTTGAAAATTTTAATATTAAAAAACAAAATTTACTTCTGAACCAGCTTGTGTAAAACGAAAAATATTATCAATAAAAAGAAGTACATCTTTTCCTTCTTTATCTCGAAAATTTTCAGCAACAGTTAAACCAGTTAAAGCAACACGAGCACGTGCACCCGGTGGTTCATTCATTTGTCCATATACAAGTGATACTTTTGAACCTTTACCTTTAAGATCAATAACTTTTGTTGTTATCATTTCATGATATAAATCATTTCCTTCACGTGTACGTTCACCAACACCAGCAAATACAGAATAACCACCATGTGATGTTGCAACATTATAAATTAATTCCATAACTAATACTGTTTTACCTACACCAGCACCACCAAATAAACCAATTTTACCACCTTTAGCATATGGTGCTAATAAATCAACAACTTTAATACCAGTTTCAAGAATTTGTTGTTCAACATTCATATCAGTAAATGGTGGTGCATCAGCATGAATTGGTGCAAAATCTTCAGCATTAACTGGACCACGTTCATCAATTGGATCACCAATAACATTTATAATACGACCTAATGTTGCTGAACCAACTGGAATTTTAATTGGTGTACCAATATCTGTAACTGGTTGTCCACGTACAAGACCTTCTGTACCATCCATAGCTATTGTTCGAACAGTATTATCACCTTTAAAATAAAAATAGACATAATGAAATATAATTTTTGTACTTAAGTCTTTTTTATTCTTTGTTTATACCTAAATGTTGAGCAACTTCAAGAATTAATTTTGGTTGACGACCATCAACTTGAAGTGCATTAAGAATAGGTGGTAATTGTTCATCAAATTGTACATCAACAACAGCACCAATGACAGATACAACACGACCTGTAGCACCTTTAACTGCTTGTTGACCAGTTTGAGTTTGTTTTGTTTCTGTAGATTTTTGTTGTGCTGCTTGAGCTGCAGCATTACGTTTTCCAACAACTATTAATAAGAAAAAAAAAAAGAAAAGAATTTTTTTGCCTTTTAAATATTGAATTTACTATGAAAATTAGCAGTCGGTTGATAAGCAAGTCTTGTCCATCTTGGATTAGCAAATGTATTACGATGTTTACCGAGTACTAATTGTGCTACACTACCCGCTCGTCGACAGGCACATCGAATGCCCTGCATGATTTTACAACTATAGAATCTAAAAAATATAAATGAATCAATTGTTCATCAATAGAAGATGAAGAAGACAAAAAAATAATAATAGAATTCACACACGAAAAACAACTGTTTGTATCCTTTAATGAGGTTAGATGATATGAATAATGGCGATTAGTTTTATTTTATTGAAGATTTTATTCAACTAATTTTATTTAAAAAAAAAGAGAAAGTTACGAAAAAAAAAATTGTTTCTTACTATATGAAAGAGAATAACTATGATAACACACTTATGCATTATCATTTAAAAGGATAATTCTTAGTAACGAAGACAAAAAAAATGATTATGACTTTACTCATATAAAGCGTTTACAATAATGAAAACAATGTTCATATTATTACTCAATAGTATACTTAATTAAGAATCATTAGAGTAGTGCCCCTTGCTTTTTTTTTATCGATCTAAGAGTAAAGCAAAAACAACACTGAATATTACTGACATCTGGTATTTAAGAATAAGAAACCAAGCATTTCATCATGTGAAGAGAGTAACGAGTAGAAATCAATAAGTTTAACGAGAAATTTTAGAGAATTAAATTTGAAATTGAGATTACAATGAAATCATTATATTTTTTAAAGCAGGAAGAAAGAACAAAACCCACTATGATTCGCCTTTTCTTATAATATAGGACGTGATTACCAAGAATCTGTAAAAAAAAAATTGACAATACTAAACATTTTATCAAGTTGTAGATGAATGTCATCGATATCAGATATATAAATTCAAAACACTAATTGATATAATATTTTTTAAATAAAATCTTTTTAAAAGCGTTTACAATCATTGTCTGAATAATTACTTTCATTAGAATAAAATAACATTGACCATTGCATTAATATATCAAATCGATATATTTTAGTTCAAAAGACTCAAGAACATGAAAATAGTTTGTTATATACAAAGAGCAGTCAAACATCTCCTATTAGTGTTAAACATGCAAATTGAATTCAATTATTGAAAAGCTATTTCAACTATTCGACTATTTAATAGTTTCTACTCTGTAAGTCCTTTCTTAACACTCGTGCCGGAGACGATAAATAATTGAATAGTTGGATTCAACTTTCAGGTTTGACATGTATGGAGTTTCTTGGTGTTTTCATACATGTATCACACTAAGTGATTTCATAGTATATCTACTTAGTGTTGTGCTTCACAGGAGAGTCGAACTCTTTAGAGTTCCAAAAATGCAGAACTCATGAAGTCTCTTAGTTTCTTTGACATTTTCGTTATGTCCATTTTATGCATGATAGATATTTAAAGCGTACAGATCCACAAGCAAGTAATCGATCTAGTCAAATTAGAATACAACTCAAGACATAAGCTTATAATGTTTATATAGTATTATTTTTGTTACTGTTTAACAGCAACCCTTTTTTAACTTTATGTCAACTTATTTCTCTCAAAAAGAAAATAATCCAGAAAAACTATATATCTTCACTCATTATTGTAAAAACAATCCTTCTGAAGGATCTTCTACTATTTTGTTGATATATAAACCTTCCATTAATTGTGTGAATACATTCAGTGAATAATATATCATCTGAAGAGACCCTTAAGCAATATCAAAACTAGTTGTTGTACTCTACTATTCTTCATTGGTTCATGCTATTACATCCTCAATTGATCCCCCTAAATTATGTATTGTGTTTTCTGCTACCACTCCAGGGCAATACAGTACTTGTGCGAAATCCAAAAAGCAAAGAAAGAAAATTGTACCGCTGACAATCTGCAGTTGAAGCAAATCGGAAGTAGCAAAACGATCATATGCAAGAGTTAATTAAATAAAAATAAAATTTGTCAGTCTCTTGTTTAGCGCTTGACAATCATGAAAAATGGTGTGAATGTCAATTTCATTTTAACACCTATCGAGAAACAGAATACTAACAGAGATTACTTAACAATATACTCCTATTTTCTTGTTCTACTCATGAATGAGTTGAAATGTTTTTCAATTCATTTTCTTATAATGTGTTGGAACACCTTAAAATAAATGAAAATAAAACAGAATCATGTTAACATTAGTGTCTTTCAACAGCATGTTCTCGAGAGTAACACTTATTCTTCTTGTTTCTGATGTATTGTTATCGATGACGATGCCTATCATCGTGTATAACCATGCTCAATTTGATCCGTTCGATGCACACAAAGTGCTTGCGAATCTCGTCTCGATCAGTTCAGAGAACGCCTGTCTTTGTGAATGCTACAGTTACTCATTGTGCTTGACAGCAACTTATTCTGCCACTGATCAAACGTGTTCATTGTACTCTGCACAATTAAGCGAAGGCCAACTACAAGCAGTACCGACTAGTGCTAATACAAAAGTATTCAATGTCCGAAATATGAGCA